GGGTGCGCCTAACTTTGGTGCTGGCGCACCAGTGCAACCATGGCAACAAGTTAGTCTAGAGCCCTGGATTAGGTACTACTGAAACATGCTGCAACGTGACCTCATGATGTCATGGTGACGTGGACACTGTAGAAATACAGGCATTCAGGATGATGGAGGTATTAAACTGAAGATGAACCTTTATTGTGGCGAGCTGAAACTATGCCCATAACACGGTTTAACAAACACGTTATCCTCGAGGCTTGAGCGGCTGTTTTTGTCTCCATCTCAGTGGTTCAATGAGGTTCTCTTCTGCCTCTGAAGGACTGACGATGGCTCAGGTCCGTCTGTTTTTAGAAACAGTGATTTCAAAGGTTTCATCCTGTCAGGCAGTTTTTACTGGAGACCACACAGCTGCAGAGCTCTGAGCGGCATCAAAATAAAGTGCTTTTCACTGGTTTTACTGGAGCTGTAGCTCACCACTGGTTCTTCTGTTACAGCCCTGATGTAGGTGCAGCAGCTCTACTCTATAACACGACTAAGGGCGTAAGTCCTCTGTTATTAAACAGTTTCAGTCTGTTTGATTAGAAATGAATCATATTTACCTACACATGCTTAGATGTCTGCTTTCTACAGTAAATGTAGGGACTGTAAAACAAATGTTTACAGGAAACAGATCATATTTCCCCGTCTTATATCACGAGTACGCTGTAGTTTATTACAGAGTGGATTAATCCAGCCTCTTCATAGGGTTTCATATCTGTATCTTATACTCACTATGTTCATGCACATGAAAGATGTTCTTTTCACTCCCTCCCTTTACAGATTTACAGCACAGCAACGGTGAAAGGAAAATAAAAAGTTTCCACCGTCATCATGAGGTCACATGTGTCTGAAAATCATGACAGTAGTTTTGCTCCTTCACTTATAACGTGTCACCCAGGTGTGTCTGTACCGTCAGGATCTGCTGCTTTTATTAGTACCTGTCTGGTGATTTTCAGCTGTGGTCACATGACGTGCATGCAGTTTGTTTCCTGTTCAGTTGTCAGTAGATGGAGGATTCCAGCTGGCTTTGAGTCTTTATCTGTGTGTGTGTTGTGGCGCCTCCTGCAGGCC